GAGAGAGAGAGAGGTGTAAACAGATGCGAAGCGAGCTGGTATTCCGCGTGCGTTTCAACATTGCCAGCGTTGCCTCGTGTTCGAGGGCGTTTTTCGTATCCGCGCGAGTTACTCTCCGTACTTGTTAATAGTGTGCGCGAGCCCGCTAAAGTGGTCTCGCTGCTAATTAACTTCGTTATTTTTTACAACTCTGCCGCGCATTTCCATCCGTCATTGCCTTCTCCTCCTCCCGCAAGCCACCGTTCTTTTCTCTGGCGTTTCTCGCGGCATTTATCCGCGATGGGATTCAATATTTTCCGCGAGCGCGGCGGCTTCAGTTTTATTTATCCACCGGTTTTATATCACGACGAAGAAAGAATCGCGTATATTCATAAAACTCGACAATAAAAAAAAAGGTTATAGCGCTTGCTCAAGTATACATAAAGTATAAGGGAAATTAAACTTTTTGTCACTCACACGCGCAAACATATACCGATTTCTCAAAATCAAATTTAATCTTTTATAGATAACTTTTATAGAACAACAATTGGATAACAATAAAAACGAATATTTCAATATTGTTCGATGCAAATAATGCCGCAAGATCTTATTTGCTTGTATTTTTATCGAAATCTAAATTATCTAATTAAAATCTAAATCTTAAATTATTTATTAAAAAGGTAATGAGATATCACAGCTCAATTCGATTTGTACTACCGCGATGATCGTTTGTTCGCGAATTCATCGATCGACGTCGTAGGGCGAGATACGTGAGAGCCGATATATAACTCTGAAACCTTAATATCGCCGTATCGAATCTGCGAGATCGTTGCGGTGATGTAAGGTAGAGAGATGGCAATGGTATAGAGGTATCTCTCCGCAGACGTGGCGGCAGCGGCAGCGGCAGCGGCAGCGGCAGTGGTGGCGGCGGCGGCGGCACCGGCGGCGGCACCGACACCGGCACCGACACCGGCATCCTTCTTTTCTCCGCCACGAAAAGGCACTTGAAATAAATTGAAAATGGCTGGTATCGCTCTGGCCCCCGGACAAGTGATACCTACATCATCTACACGCACACCAACCACTCCCTTTTACCACCTTTCACCCTCTATCCCCGCCCGGCATCCTTTCATGAATTCGAAACGCGACGTTCGAGTCGGATCGGAATCCGGTCGAATCACTTCAATTAATTCAATCGGGAACGGAAGAAAGGGAGGAAGAGCAAAAAGAAAATAAATAGTATATGTTATGTCTCGAAAAAGTTTACATGTAAAAACATCGAAGCCTGTAATCGCGCAGTAAGTAACGCGAATCTTGCGATTTGACATGAAAAATGTATAGTCTAGTACTTGTCTGATATTTGTCACGTTACAAGCATCAAAAGGGCATAATGCAATTGATGTTACAAATACATATGTAATTCTAAATCCAAAACATATTCATGTATCATGTATCTTGTATTTCTCGATAAAAAATAATTACATGTATACATTGAAAGATCACATTAAAAATGTTTATATTTTTTATTTTGGAAAGACAAAAGTCACATTATTTTTAATATCTCCCGTGTCTCGTTTCGTATTCTTTCGTCTCTTAGTTTTTATATTGAAATTGTTATTCGTTTATATTATAAATTTATGTAGACTTATTTCAAAAAAGTCAAAATTTTCTCATTTTCATCGAGGAAGGAAATAATGTCGCGATGCAGTGAGTTTTCAATTTTAGAATCGTTCGGTTCTCGCGCGGTTTTCCGCGCGTGTAGCGCAGAAGCGCGTAAACGAGGGCGCGGTACATGTATAATATACATCTACGTAATATCGCATCTACGCATACATCTACGTAATCTCGCATACACGCGGCACACACGTAGCGGTAAGCCAAGGCACACACGAGCGCGACAAGGTATTGAATCGACGAGTATCATGCAGCTGACAGCTAGAGCTAATTGAATCTTGACTCTATCTATCTGTCGACCCGAGGCTGAGACTCGCCACTGCTACCGCTACCACCGCCGCGTCGTCACGAATTGCATTTCCTGTACGACGATACCGTTCATCCATCTTCGTTTCCCAAGAATTCTATCTACCTCGCGCTTCCTCGCGCTTCCTCGCGCTTGCTCGCTCGCTCGCTCGCTCGCTCCCTTCC